TGGATTTCTTTCAATAATGTCTTGTAGTTCTCATTGTATAGGTCCTTCACCTCCTTGGTAAGATTTATTCCTAGGTACTTTATTCTTTTTGATGCAGTTGTAAATGGTATTATCTTTTTGAGCTCAGTATTACATTTTTTACAAAAGGATTCCATAGTTAAATAAGTTTGGAAAATGCCGTGTTAAACAAAATTCAACCAGTTTTTTTTACTACGGGACTACTTAGAATTAATATTTTAATCTTCATCATGAATCTCTAAGAGGGAAATATAGTATGTAGCACTGCACAATCTTATTAACCTGTGAAAACTTCTTTGCACATACTCTGTAGCAGCTCCAGTGTTCTGTAGAACACACTTTGTAGAATGCTTGTCTACAACACACATGAGTAACTCTGAAAAGTATAAATATAAAAATTCACAACAAGAAAAGCCACATCTATAGACTATTTTTCATGATAGCTTTTTGAAGAAAGTTAAACTGATTTGCCAAAGCAGAACCTTAACATAATCTTGATAAAAATTCTGTGACAGGCATTCTGTAGGAAAATTATAATTTAAGGAATATGTATTCACATTGCCTCCAACAAGAGAAATAAATATATTGACAATTTGACAGCGATAATATGAAATTTTACTTGGCATTATTTTTCCTATTTATGAGACCTTAAAAAAGATCCTGTAAAATAAAGAATAAGGCAAGCATACCTATCATTTTGAAATATAAAGGAGTGTAACTAAACCAGGAGCCCCAAGTTAAATATCCATTCTTCATACAGGCTAAAGAAAGAGAAAGTATGGAGAAAGCAGCCGATACTTCTGAGTATTAAGCTTCTTGAAAGCAGAGACTGTTTCTTTCTGGTTCCCTTCTATATGCCCTGGGCCTACAAGGGTGCCTGGTGCATAAAGTCATCCATAGATATTTCTTAACTACTTCAGTGGGATTTGGAGATTTATCAGGGGATAATTAATAGGATGGGGCCACTAAAGCATCAGTAGCCATTGGATCAAGTCATCTAGACTCTGCAAAAGTCAATCCAGCTATAGATGCTACCTGAGAAATCTGATGGTCTGCCTGGCTGAGATGACATCCAAAGGGGTAAGTGATTAGAACTTTTGGCAAATGGTCACCAGTGAAGAAAAGTTTCAGATTGTTCAAGCTAATGTGCAAAGTGTGGTAAAAGAAAACTTGAAATAAGTTAACAATCAGAAGTGGAAGCCCTATCCTTGTGGCTGTAATGACAAATGGCCTACCTGTGATGGGATGGCGGCTCAAGGAAGGACTTCAGCCTCCAGGATGGGAAGAGTGAAACATTAACATATCAGGATCTCATGTTCCTCACCCAACGGCCAAGGCAGAGTTCCAGTTATAGGATGTAGGGTTGTGGCAAGGGATATAGAGTTGTGAAATGACACAAATGTCCAAGAGGCCATGCCTATTCATCTCTGTTCTTCATGGAGGAGAACAGGTGACTATTCCATTTCAGAACAGGCTTGGTTTTGGTGACCTGGCTAGAGCTGATTTTCAGGCTGGGAAGCAGACTGGCCCTGATGGTTGGATGAGTGTTAGATTGAGTCACTGGAAGATGTGGTGCACTTTGTAAGTGCATACTTAACTAGCTTAGAGATTCCATTTTTCTTTGAATAGACTCTACCCACATTTATATAACTGAAGAAACTGAACTGGAAATTCAAGATTAAATTCTTATCTTTAGCCAGAATCCTGACTCTAGTCTTTAGATCTAGATGTGTGTATCTGTAACTCTACTGTCACCTCTATCTCTTTCCAAATTGGGTGTTATGCTTAGTCTGTATCTTAGACCATTTTAAGAATAGATCTTCTTTTTCCAAGTTATTTCATTAGAATGTGTAAGTCACTTATCACCTCAATTTTCAAATTAGGTAATTATCCTATTTTTTTCACCTGGGTACCTTATTTCTAGTAACAAAAAGTGTATCACAAAATCACATATCCCATCTTCTTGTGGACACACTTTTTTTTTCTTGTTGATCTTATACATTAAAAGCAGTTCCTCTTTCATGTAGTCATGGATCTTCTCAATAACTGAGAGCCGAAATGTTCAAGGGGGTCTTTTGGACCAAGATCCACTATAAATCAGCAAATATCTTTTATAGGACTCAAAATTGAAAGCTATTTTGGACCTAAAGGCAATAAAGGAGACAATATAAACTACAGTTTGGGAAAATAAGGACATTAGAAGAAGAAAAATATAAAGAAAATATTTCAAGAAAAATTGTTCCAAGACTCCATTTTAAAATAGTGACTTTTCTATGGTGATATCTGCTCAGACAGAGGAAAAATGTGAAAAGTATTCTGTGCAAAAGAGTATGAACTGAACTGCTATGTTTGGAAAATGTGCACAAACTTATCAAATCTTTTTTTTTCCTTTTACCCTTGATTTCATTTGTCTTTCTTTTCACAACTTGAAAACCTCTTTTAAAATTCCCTAATACTATATTGCCCCAGAGAGGCCTAGAAATTATTTCATTCATGTTTGATGTTTGCTAATTTAAAGGCTAAGTTACCTAATCAATTTTACTGGGATTTCTTATTTCAGAAGTTCATTTTCAATAAGGTATTGTGGTTTTAAAAGAATTATATAAAAACAATATACCACCCAATCCATTTATATTATATATAATATATATACACATACACACACAGTAAATATATATTATATATACTACATATGTTATTATAAATTTAGTGGCAACATCAGCACCAATGATTTGTGTAATTATATTAATAAATGACTATTTGGCCCTTCTTATTAATCTAAAACGGGTGTATTGCAGTTTTTTTAATACTGCTTTCTGTCTAAACTATCTATAAAATGCAAAGAATATTTGCATAAAAATTGAAATTCTCATGTGCATAAGAGAATAAAGTGTAAAATATCATCTGAATACCTCCAAATATCTTTTTTTCTTTCATATTATGGGAAATTTCTCTTTTATTGATCCATTTATTAGAATAAATGGTGTGTTATTTTGAACGTGGCAAACCATAAAATGCAGTGACTTCAATAATGATCATAAATGAGCCATTTGAGTCTCAAAAGTATTGCTGGAGTGGAAGCCCTTATTGTATTTTAATTTAAAAAATTCCAAAAGATAATATACTGTAGTCCATAAATGCTAAAAAATGAATATTTAAATATGTATGCAGGTATAATTTTTTGTTTTGCATTCTGAACCCAGATACTTATTCTTCCTCTGCCATTTCTGGTCAGTAGAAGTTCATCTGTAGGGATGTTTATGTAGTCAACACAGCAATCAGATTGAAGAAAGACATTTTACAATGCAATCCCCTCTACAATTGTCTGAAATGATGCATATCTAAGCAAATTATGTCACATATTCTTTTTTCTTCCTTTATTTCATTTAACTACTTGATAACACTTCTCTACTAACTACCTGTCCTTCTAGAATAATGGAAATAATATGCTGATGACATTAGAAATTCCCAGCAAAATTCCAAATTTTGTTTTTAAAGGTCTGAAATGTCATTCTGATAAAAAATGTCATCTGCAGAATCCTGAATTAGAAAAGCCATCCATGGGTTGTGGACTACGGGACCACATTATTTATTTTGACTGTTATGGATGTAATAAATCACTCCAAAATAATGTTGACATTTATGCATTCCGCTAACATGGCATTTTAACAGCCTGCACTGTATATTGCTGCTTGAGTTAAGGATTTGCTATCACATTTTCCAGCTTAGTTCTCCCAATCTTAACACAGCAGACAGTGGTACTGTCAACTGCAACAGTGCCAGGAGAGAAAAAGATGGATAACGTATTCATTTTTATGGGTGATTTTAAACTCCATGCCATTGAGCACATTTCTCTGAGTGGCTTTCATAGCTCACAGTGTTTGCTTCTTTCCTCTTTCTTCGGGCTCCGTGAAGCCTTTTTTTGCTATAGGTATGGCTCTCAGTTTGATTTAATCCTGCTTCTCTGCCTACCGACAGGTGCACAGAATGCATTAGCAACAAAGATATCATAATTGAAATCAATACCGTGACTTTGAAGAGTGTTTCTATGATGAGTTCTGGTCTTGTGTATTTTATATGCTGCCATAACCATGTTGATGTAATGGATTAGACACATCCATCAATTCAGTTCACACACACACACATGCACAACGCTTGACTAACATTTCTTTCCTACTAAATTTATTGTTTAGCTCTTTGGTCTGCCAGTTGTTTGATTAGACTGAACCATTCAATACATAAAAGGAAAAGATGCACTTGTTCTTCCAGGTCAAAAACGTGGTTCAAGCATTACAATGAAAGTTTTTTGCTTTAATTATAAAGGTTCTAATTCACCTGTACAGATGAGCATACATTTCAATTTACGGCTGCTGTTTGCATAATATTTTTCCCTCCTCTAATCATTTTTGACTTTTGAAACCTTCCTGGTCATCATCGACTGCCCTTATTTTCCTACAGTAATTCATTAGGTGAGCTTTTTCCAGCATTTTGCCCTTCTACCGCGTCCTGATCCCTCAAGCACAAATGTTGAAGTCTTGCAGACGTGGGATGAAGTGGAGTGACGACCTCTCTCTGGCTTATTTTCCTGTATGAAATGTGTGTATGAATTCTAAAGGAGGACCTTAATTCTGGGTACCAGAGCCAGGCAACCCACCTCTGAAAATGTCTTCCATCTTGGAAGTATCTTCTTCAGCTATCAAACTGGCCCTGGTAGTGAAGGACGAGCAATAGCAGCCACACTTAGGACATCTGTGCCTCTCTTGCAGCCAAGCAACCATGAAGAGAATTAGGACATTTCCTGTAGAAGCAAGAGAATCTTTGCTTTTAAAATTCTCCATATCATTAAAAGCATTTAAAGTAGGGCTGTGCAGAACATGCTATTCGATCTTTCTGTGTTCACATTTAAACTCTGGTTTTCAGAGTCTTAGAATGTACCCTTACTGTGTGGTTATAATTAAACTACATTTTACAGTAAAGTTGGGAAAATAAGTTGATTTGTCTCCATTTTGAGACTAGTATCTTTTCCATTGTGGCACCAGATTGGCAAAACAGTGTGGAATGTATGCACACCATTGGCCCTACTCTCAGAGAATGAAATTTCACTTATATGTAGACAATTATGACCTACAGCTTTTATGATTATTTTACATATTCAATAACTATATTAGTACCTGCCATCATTTTCTTAGTGTTTCCCAAAGGTCCGATTCTAGGATTACACCTCCATGGGGTCCCAGTTTGGGTTGATGGGATAAGAAATGAAGAAATGGGCCAGACAGACCTATAGTACTACTTTCATATCGTCATTCAGACAGAGTTGGAAGAATTCCCAGAGGGACAGTTCTGAAATACACTTTAACATTTTTATCTGGACAAAATGGAACTCAATAGTTGAGATGAAACAAATTTTCTTTGGGGAGATAGCAGAATCCTTTAGTATATTTTCAAGTGTAGACAAGACTTTCTAGTTTGATGCAACATTCTTGGATAAATGATTGGACATGACTGCCTTGAATATCTGCAAGACTTCAACAACTGACAGCAGTCAAGACAGTAGATATCCAGACAAAGGGAATGTCACAGTCCAATAGCAATTTTTATTCCATTGATTTTAAGCATGCAAATATAAAGGAATTCTTAATCGAAAGTGTCTTTTCTATTTACTACCAGAGATTCCAACCTACTTTTTAAAAAGCTTCTGTTAAGTTCTTGCTCCTTCTAACCTAACAATAAAATTGTATACTCCTATCTAATATCTCAAAGTTCTGTTAAAATTAGGAAAAAATTTTTTTTCCTTTTCTTTAATTTCTTTATGTCTTCTGAATATAAATGTCAAACAGAATCTTCTGTCTCTCATAAGCACATTTTAAGTGTATACCTAACAGTAAAGCTATGTCCATTGCTTTTAAATATAGACATTGAAGGCTGAACTAGGGAATATTGCATACTTAGAATGTAATTGATAATGCAAAATGGAAGCTAGAGAGTAGCTGGTTTTCCATTAAACAAATTCACCCTACTGTGTTGATGGTAAGATTATAAAAACCATTTTCCAGAGGTCAATGAATCCAATACTATGTGGGAAATAAATAAAAACATACAATATTTAAAATAAATATTTAACTCTAGGAGATATTTATAATATTTGTTGATTCCCAGAGATATTTATTTTTATTATTTGATAAGTGACTACTTATAATCTGAGGTAATAATTTTACCTTTATTGACAAACAGAAAAGAAGAAGATAAATGTTTGTTATACAAATAGCCTCTACTTCCTTTAAATGGAAAAAAAAAAAAAAAAACTCAGGACCCAGGAACAAAGAATGTATGTTTCTCAAGTCACTCTTCTATTACTAGTTGTTATATAGATCCTCATGAAACCAGGCAGAAGAAAGGCATGCTGATTCATTTCATTTTTTGTGCTTATCTGTTTATTTTCCTGAAATTGTTTGATCACTCTGGCTTTTCAGTTTCCTTCTGTGTATGACTGTATGGACTATTTCTGAAGATTGGCTCGATATAGCAGACTGCCATCTCTCCTGCCTTGTTAAATTTCCTCTAGAAAAACACAGAGGTTCTTAAATAACTATACTCCCTTCCTTCTTTATTGAAGCTTCTCCAATAACTGAACTCTCTAGGAACTTTCAAATAATGAGGATGACTAATGTTTATGCAGTTTCACAGGCCTGTATGTGTTTTGGAGTGTCCAGGATTAGAATCTGTTGAAGTGGGTAAGTAATAACATAGGAATGTATCTGCTTTGCTTTGCTTAAGAATGTGATTGCACAGGACAAAGCTTTGCATGCAGCATCAGACTCAGGGTGACAATAAAGGAAAAATATTATGGGATGAATTTTAGGTTTCTATATTGTATTTATATAATTGTGAGTATATGTGTGTGTGTGTATGTGTGTGTTAGGATCTAATACAAGAGTTTTCTATTTAAGTGCTTTCTCTTCTATGACAAAGGATTGTCATAGAAGAACCCAAGGCTATTAGAAATTCGGAAACATGGAAATAACTGGGTCTTGAGTTTAGTACAACCAAGTCAATGTGATTTACTCATGGCATAAAGAACATGAGTTGTTTCTGTCTTTAAAGGGTAAAGGAAATTCATTCAGGATTTCTGTTTGTTTGCATTAAAATGGCTTTAGAGGGGCCGGCCCAGTGGCACAATGGTTAAGTTCACGTGTTCCACTTCAGCAGCCCAGGGTTCGCCGGTTCAGATCCTGGGACCAGAGATAGTCACTGCTCATCAAGCCTTGGTGAGGCGGCTTCCCACACAGAGCAACTAGAAGGACCTACACCTAGGATATACAATTACGTACTGGGGGATTTGGGGGGCAAAAAAAAAAAAAAAGAGCTTAGGGCCAGTCTTCCTCAAACCAAAAAAAAAGAATACATGTTTGCTAATCAACTGACCTTAAGATAGGTTTAAAAAGGAACATGACTTTAGAGTAAGTTAACTGGAGGTACTTTTGAATTATTTAATATGCTTATAGCCCTAAAGCTAAGATAAGTTGGTGGAATTTTTTATTTTTGTGTGAGTAGTTTCACAGCTTGTCTTCCCATGATTATATGCCTGGGAGGGTGAATCTGTTTTCTCATCTGTTGAAGTAAAATATAAAATACACTGAGAAAGTTGCTCATTTCCTGAAATACTTCCAGTAACTGGTTAACCACGCCATACCATTACCTCATTCTACCATACTCCTGAGATCTTCTAGAACTATTCTGATTTCCTGTAAAGGTACTCTTTCCACATGGGAAATTTATTAACTGTATACTTATACTTGAAATTCCTCCAAGACAGAGATCTCTTATCTTTTTATCCTAGCTTAATGTTGACCCAGAATTCAAAATGTTTTTATTAAGCTGGACTATTACTAAAGATGATTTGATTTTTATATTTTCATTAAGATAAATCCACAAGTCAGGATAGAAAAATTCTTTTTAAGACCATCAGACAATAGATCCGGATTTTTTATTTCAGAAAATATAGCCACGACAACTAGAGAGCGCCAACAGGGTAATGAGACCAGGTATGGTATGAACAGCAATTCCAGAAGAAACTAAAGCTGGGAGCTATTGGAAAGAGTTCTTAAGATTTATGTGCTCAGGACAGATGAATCCGATCAACAGAACAAGACAGAAAGAATGATAGAATGATATGTATGATGGATCTAACAGAATATTTCCAACACCAAACCCAGGAATACATATAGCAGGTGTTCAATATAAGTTTGACGTAGGAAAATCTCTAATGGATTAAAATTAAAGCCAATATAATCATAAAATATTTAGAAGGTGGATAAATAAGATCCATGAGAGGGTGCTTAAAAAAAATCAGGGTAGAGCATGGAGGTTGGCAGCCCAATTTCATAACTGCTTTCAAGATTACATAAGCTTATTACAGAGATTTTTGTGCTGTGATTAGGAAAAAAATGTCATATGGAACCCATGTGTTTATCTCTACTCCCTCTTGAAACTTCATTAATTTGGCTCTACAGGAACAAACCTAAAAAGGACAAAGAGAAGCAAAGAGGAGATGACAGCAAAGAAGTGATATCGATAAAATGATGGGAAATGAAAAGTAGATGGCCAAGTGCTAAGGACTTGGTAGAGCAGAGGGATAGGAAGCCTAATACCTGCAGAGGGTGAAGCAAGTGTGAAATGGGCTGATTAAAGCTGTAGACTACCCAAATGCTCAAATACATACACGTCCTGTGCCTCTGAGGACATGGGTGAGTGATGAGACTGAACACTGGACTATCCTTTGAAAGTTTGTATAAAACACAGTTAGAAGCCCAGAACTCGTCAGTCAACCAAAAGAGACAGGAGCTTTATTCTCTACAGAAATTAAATTAGGAAGGCTTTCCAAAAAAACAGGTAAACAATAAAGGGAAGGGTAGGGACCATCTTGAACACAAGGAATGAGAATTAACCCTCAATCTCCCCTAACCCCACACTCAACTCTTTTCCCCCAGTCAGCCCCTACCAGAACTTTGCAATAAGGCTTATAATTCCAGTCTCCTCTTACCTCCTCCTTGTTCTGGAGAAATGGGCACAATAAATAAAGAGGATGCACCGCAAGATGTATCATCATAAAATACTTTAAATGGGTTTAACAAAATATTATTTGTATTAACATACTAAGAGTTGCATACGATCCCTCCTGGGGAGCAGTTGGAGTAAAGGACTATTATTTTTGGCCCTAAGGCTTGTAGTGATTTTTAAAGTCAAACTGAAAATGCTAAATATAAAAGTCTCTGTTAATTGCATTTGGAATATAAATTGGCAATCGTATAATTATAAACTCTACATGTTCTCAGGAACAACTGTAAGCATTCTTACATTAGTTTTAACAAAATGTAAACCAGCCACAAAATAAGACACTGATCCAATACTGGTGTAAAGGGAGCTACATTCTGAGATGGGCTTGGAAACTAGGTTCGATTGGGAACATTTCCTTATGCCAAAAAGCAGACTTCAAATTGCCAATCTACTTATCCATACATGCATGGAAACATTACCTGGGCCCCATGAGGACATATGGAACAGCCAAGTTTCACCGAAAAAAGAGAAAACCCTCAAGTTTCTCCTTCAGTTCTTAAAATATTGGCAGACACTGAAAGTCTATTTTTGGAATTAAACATAGCTAATTATTTTTAGGCATGGCACCAAAAGCTTTTGTCTTTAGATTCAGCAGTTTCCAAAATTGGTTTCTGTACTTTTCTCTTGGGCCCCTATAGTTCATACTCCAGAGCTGAGAAACACACATAAACCTCAAATATTAGCTTTTAATGAAATAGGATGGGGGTGGAGAACGAGAAAAATGAGTTCGAGTGGAGGAGACCTTTTTTGTTGTCAGATACTGCAAGTGAGAGGATAGAGTTTTTTCCTCCTAATGAGGAGTTTATTGGTCACATATATTTTATTTTCATGACAAATGCCTCCTCAACATACAAAATCAAGGAGGTCTCTAAGAAAGGGATAAAATTTGAGGAAAGATTTTTGAGGGCATTAATTAGCCTGTCTGAAATCTTTATAAATCCTTTCCAATTTATATAAAGTAACTAAAAATTATGAGCTTGGTATTTTAAGAATCCTAAATGATATTAAATAGTCTTAATCTTCTTAACAGGCTGTGATTACTCCAACTGACTATGTTTACAGTGGGAAATTGGAAAATGTACTGCATTTGATGTGAATTTCAGTGCTAACCTGAAAGTACCTTTCTTTGAATAGTATTTATTTACAGGTGATCATATTAAAAAGGGCTGTATTTAGATAGAGTGAAAAATTATCACAGAAGTGTCATCAATAATACCAAATACATAATGCATGGGAAATAAATCAGACTCTGTGATTAAACATTTAATTTTCTGTGGTGTGACTTTTAAGACTGTTTCATATCTTTGTCAGTGAAAATTAGGGAAGTTGGAGAAGTATTGTTTATCTGTACCCCAAAAGGAACACATAATGTGTCTGAAGGTGATTTCCTACAGTCTAAAATGAAATCACATAGTTTAAATCACATTTGTTTAAACTAGTAAACTAGTAAATAGAATATTCCTTACAAGAAAGCTTTAAGAGACATTGCATTACATAGCATTACATCCTAGTTATTGAGTGCTCAAAATGTGATGTCCAAGGTAGAGAAGGCTGCCATCTTCAAATAGTTAACATCCTAGTTAGAGATGACAGAAAACCAAAGAGGTAATAGGTTAAATAGGTTACTATTAGGTAGTGATGACTGTCACGAAGGAATAAATGTGAAGATAATGATATGACCAAGAGTGATGAGTTGAGATAGACCAGGTAAGGCATCTCTGTAGATGTGAAACTTGAGTTCAGATCTGAAGACAGGAGGATCCGGATGTGAACAACTGGGAAAGGAATTCCAGGAAAAGAATCAGCAAAACACAGGCACATGTCAGACAAGGAAACATTCAGGTGAGAAATGGTCATTCCTGACTCTCCCAACGTGATCATCAAGTTATGTCGACATGGTTTTGGAATGCAAATGTTTCTGAATGTCTGTTAGTGAGTTAAATTGTCTAACTGTGGTGTAAACCCCAGAAGACAGAGTCTTAGTCATTTCTGTGTCCCCCAGTCCCTAGAACAGAGTCTGGTATAGATTTGTTATTTGGAACTCAACACATACTGTTCAATTGACAGGAACAGTCACATATCAAGACTGTTCTTTGTAATTAGGCAGCAATATCCTTTCACAAAATTGTACAGAGGACCAGTCTAACGGGCCCCTTCCATGTGTGGCTGTTATCTGGTTTTGACACTGACATAAGTGCTCAAAACTCAGATTAAAAAAAAACAGTTCTCTTTATTAAAATGAGCCCCAGTCAATCAGATAACTAATGGGAGGATTCTGTTCATGGAAGCTAGACTCACCTCTCCCCTGAAACGGTTCTTAAAAATTTCTAATGACCCACCTTGGGCAAGTTCCAATGGTCTCTCCCCTGTTTTCAGGTGAAAGAGGCAGTTCCATGGCATAATTTACAGAGGCGCCTGCTAATACCATGTGGGGAAAAAAAAAAAAAAGAGTTAACATTAAATACACAAATTCTCCTGAGAAGAGTTCCATTTTAAGCAAGCATCTAATCTAAATAATACTTTGATGAAGAAAACCTTAATCCAGGTTCTAGAACTGAGGGATGGTCGTTCAGTGTTACTCTCATGAACTGGCCACGTGGAACATGTGCCTAGGAGGTGGCTTTGGCACATGACTGTGTAAGGAGAGATGTAGCTAAGAACTAACTGAAAGCATGACCAGAATAAGTAACCACGGAACTATAGTGGAAAAGATGATACAAAAACAAAGAAAAAGTATATTAATACGGTTGGAGAAAGAGCATCACCATTTCACAATTTCTCTGGGTAGGTCCTTTTGTTACAGCACAAATGTAAAAATGATAAGCATTATCTATTTAGATAACTAATAATTAATCCTTTCCACAAAGGATTCCACAAAAGATTCAAAATCACTCACACGGAATACACAAAATATGGTGTGTGTGTGTGTGTGTTTCTGTGAGTGACATACATATGTGTATATACATGTATAAAGGGAGGTAGATATAAAGATACAGACATCGAACATAAATACATATATAGATAGAGATATGAAAGAGGTCTAGAAAAAATACAACTAAGTGAAAAGTAGTTGCTACAGTGACATTGTAACCTGGCTTTGAATATTCTGGAAGCCAATATCAAAGAGTGTTCCATGGAACACTAGCTCCTCATGACAATCAATGAATAAAAATGTTTGGTGTCAAATAGTTTTGAAAAGGCTACATTTACTCTGCGACATTTTTTGGAAACTCAGAGTGTAC